GATACAGGTTTTTGCATAAGCAGCGGCTGGTTCTAGGAATATTCAAATGTACTTTACCACTGCTCTCCCCAATGGACTGTCTAAAATTAAGACGAACGTATGGGAGCAGGATTGAGGAGCAGGGCCACCTCAATCTTTAACGGGGAGATTTTCGGAGGGAGTCGTATATGGGATTGGTGAACACTGAAAGGGGGATCGTTCGCACTTTCGGAAGCTGAAGGGGCATTGGCGGCGGTAGAGAGTGTTTGTTGATGGGTTTTCGATGTTCTTGTAAAAATTCAAGAAAATAAGTGCTAAACGTAGAAGATCTGTCGTTTCAAGGACCATTTACTCACTTCTCATCTGGACAAAAACTAATCGGCCGGTGTGGGCCGCGGCTAGGGTCAGCCAACCGTCGTGCACCTCTTAATGAAAGGGCGAAGTGGTCGCGTTGCATTCGGAAGTGGTTTTTATTTGATGGAATAGACACTACATTTTTTTTAAAAGTTAGAAGGAGAAGTTCTTGGAAATGTTGGCAACTGGCAGAATTCTGGGGTTTTAAAATTTTTAAAGACCTCGGCGGGTGAGTTGAATTTAACGAAGGGGAAGTATGAAGGGTAGGTTAGGGCAAAAGTAACGAACATAAGGAGGGAGAACTGGTCGTAAGAGAGCGGCCAATCACAAAATTCGCCCAAAGCAATGGATGACCCTGGCCGAGACACTTCCAGTCGTAGTGGGCACATGCAGCCAAGCAGATCAGCAGGGTACTTCACTGTTACGTGTAAAAGCAGATTCTAGAAGCTCGAAGAGATGTAAGAGCGATCGCCAACAGGATTTGAGGGAAAACTCTGCTTTTGTCAGAAGTTGTAACTGTCAAATCAAAGTTTAGCAGAACTCTATGAGATGATTTGAATTAGGCTGGTGGGGACCGATATCCTTTTTTTGAACCATCGTTGAAGGGATTGATAATAGTAGATCAATTAGCGAAAACGGGTACAATACTTCAAGATCGAAATTATCTCGAAGTTACGTATTGGATTACAAACTGCCAAGCTAGGGACTATGTTGCTTCCCATCTGCGCTCTAACACTGAAATGTCCAAGTTTCCCTCGAGAAGCGCTTCTATTCCCATTCGTCCATCAAGAAAGGGCAGCTTACAATGGGCCACAAAATCTTTTCGGCAGAACTCACACTTGTTTCCTCGGCGTGAAAGCGGACGTCGTCTGTGGTAGAGGCAATTTTGGTGGTGATGGAGGGCAAAATTGGTGCGGTTCAGGAGGCGACGTGCCGCCACCGTAATTCAGAGACTCATCTGAAACGAGTGAGCACTTTCGCAAAAGTACAGTCACATAGTCATTTCTTCAAAGCAATTCGGAAACCTTTAATTTGTGGAACTGGTTTGAGACAACGACAACAGATGCAGACGGATACGCAGAGGCATCCGAGTATCAGAACAACACCACCAGAAAGCAGCAACACGAGAGCGCCCGAGACCGATATCAATGGATCGGTGTCCAAATCTGGAAAATATTTAAAATGTCTTTAGTCCGCGTTGAGGCTATTTCTCCATAAGGTGGCTTCAGGGGGCTCTTTTTTCTGGGCCTTCTTGAGCAAACCCCTAGAGAAAAAGATGGAAAAGGTTGAGCCTCACCATGCATCGAGTCACTCATTAGGCACAGTCTTCGTGCTATGACTTCTCAGTTCACACCGTAAAGCGCCTTGCTTAAGTTCTGCTTTGGGGGAGGAATTCACGATAAGAAGGCCAAAGAAGGGAAAATTGCATAGTTGGGAGACAGGCGGACCTCCTGAGTGAGTGACGCGCAATTGGCAGCGAAAGATTTGACCTCGGCGATCTAGCATGGCTCACTCTTGGCGCGGTTGGCGGGGTACGCCCATACATAGCAGAGAGCGTAGTGTTGAAGAGGGCAGAGCGATGAGAGTCGCATCAATGCGCAAATCAATGGGCAAGAAGGGGTCCCATTTCTCAGGTTCCGGATAAATTGAGCAGAAAGGACCGTCTACTCAAAATCATGAAATGATTGACGATAAAATGCTTGGTGCTGACGACGATTCCTATTCCAGGATGCGCCACTCATTTGACGCACCAGGTTCGTAGCAACGATTGAAGGCGCATTTATTCTATGCAAAGTTAGCCTATCCATAACATAGGCCAGTCCATTAATCCGACCTTTGAAACAATCCTACCCTTTGAAACCAATAAATCCGGAACCAATACGTTGAACCAGGGAGATAAAGCCCAGACAGGAGTCAAGTCTTTGAATTTGAGGTATGCAAGATACAAAATATATAGAATACGAGGTATACAAGGGCGCCGTCTCCTTCTATTGCCTAGCGTTTTCTGTGGTACCAATCTTATCTTGGAAGTGCCCCAAATCGTCATGCTGCCTCTTTTGCCGCTGGAGGCACCGGTAGTTCCAGCAAAGCTGTACAGCTGTAGCAAGTAGAGCTTCAAGGCAACATCCATGAAGGACAACTTCATTTCACCAAAATGAGAATGCGAAGAGGGTATCGCTGCCTGATCACAAACTGGATGTCAGCGTGATCTCCGGATCGGCATTAACTGGCGCCTCAAAGCATCTGTACGAGAACACAATAATTGAGTAACTTCCTAGCCTGTGAGGATTTGACGTTAGCCATTGTTTGTGTCTGAGAGTGCTAGTTGTCTTGACGTTGATGTCGCGCCTCCTAGCAAGCTCAGATTCTGCATAAAGGAAACATCACTTCCGCTTCTCCACGAAAGTCAAAGCATTCGCGTCCGATTCCTCTGAAGAAAGCATGACTCTAAAACTTTGGCGATCCATTTCCTTTTTCGGGTGCTCCACGAACTCTACCTTCATTCAGAAAAGTAGAACTTAAACGCGGTTTCACCCAGGCGGGGGGTAACGACGAGGGCCAGCCGATTACGGTGAGCAAGCTTTTTTATATGTCGGCAGCGATCTGGTAGCAATTAACAATTCGGAAGGATGTAGAAATTGCTTGGCTTGTCAGAGCCCCGAACCTCTTTAATATGGGATTTGGCTTTCGGATCGAGCACATGGTAAATGTGCAATAATATTTTACTGTAACACTTCACCAAAAACTCTATAATTATTCTATAGAGAGGTAGAAACACGGACTGGCTTCTGAGCTGGTACGCCAAGTATAATAACTACGCAAGATAAAGATCGGCTCAAATGCGTCGAATCAATTTTCAACCGTTTCTACCAATCAAGTAGGTAACCCAGCGCATCTCTGAAGAGTGAACTCCAGCGTTAAGTAGAAGGGCATCCTTTTCCATTTCACTTTGAATAGGAGGTACACATTAAAAATTCATTTATTCATTTATTTCTTGAGTACTCACATGATTTGATGCTGCCGTCGAATGTCTTTAAACATCTGACTGTATTCCAATTTTTAGCATGAGACCTCGATCGACCCGTCTCCCGTGCACTCAAAATCAAGTGTAACAACCACACCCGGACCAATTATTGGTGTGCAATAAGAATAATCTATCTGTCCGCATAGGAAGATTGATTGTCTTTTGCAGGTCAGTTCTGCGGGCGACGTAGCAATGTCAGTGATCTGAGTTTTGAGCACAATGAATGCTTTGACGTTGTGGTGGCACACAGATGCCATCCTTCCACAGCAACATCCTGCAAAAGGATTCAAACTTCATTGGAACGCTTTTCGAGTGACGGCTGGAGGTATGGGTCAAACAACCTTGGTAAGCTGTGCGCTAGCACCCTCCATACTGATACTGAGTACATTACAGTTCCATGCTCGGCTGGGCGTGAATTCACTGGGACAAGACAATGTATTCCAGTCCAGCTAGCCTGTGATCGCTTTCTCTGATTGTCCTGATGGATCTGACATCATCTACTCCAAACAGTTCGCTGCTAACTGTGAAGGTATGCAAAACTTTCAGACGTTTGGAGAGAGTGAAAAGGGGCAGGCAGCTAGAGGGGCGCTGAACTACACAGATATTCATCTGATATAAATCATACACATACCCTGAAAAGGCAGAACTAACTGCCATCATATACACAGAGTGTTTATGAAAGTAGGTACAAGTATGAATAGTTTCTCCATCTTCTTTTACTCAACGTTACTCCCACACAGGGTCAATCGTCCGTTCGCACTATTCGAAGACGAGATCGCATTTGTGTTTCCAAGGAGGAGGGGGGTCGCGTTTTGGCGGTGAACAAGGTTATCGTAGTGGGAACATTCACCCTCCTCCCCCCGCTCGGCCATTTTGGAGGAGAAAGTGGGGCGGGCGGTGATGGTGAGGGTGATGGTCGGAGAAAGGGGAAGGATCGTAGTGGGGGAGTCTTATAAGACTTTGGTGGTGGAGGAGGGTCGCATCGAGAGGGGGTTGCAAAATTTTTCAAAAAGTGCGAACGTGACCGTGCTAACTCTTCTTCCAAATCGATGCGTCACTGGGAATCGGAATCGTAGAGGATTTCGACACTTTTTCCAATCCAAGACATCTTCTGACATACTTTAACTTTAACGATGTCTTTCAATGCATCACTTCACCTCTTTGAGCTGCTGGTCATTTGATGGGCGCTTTTAACTCAGGGCTCTCATTACTAGGTGATCTGCTACAATCTATCACGTCTGCGCATCGTTGGCGCTGCCATCACGCCTGAACAGTAGCAGTACCCGCTGACGTCTCGTTGGTGACCCTGACCAGGCACAATTTCCTCTGCCCATTCTCATTTTGGTGCAATGAAGTTGTCCTTCATCGCTGCTGCCTTGGAGCTGTACTTGCTACCCTACAGCAAGCTGGAACTACCGGGCCTCCAGGCGGCCAATGTGGGAGGATGATGTGGGTACTTTCAAGATAAGATTAACATCACAGAAAACGCAATAGGCAATAGAGGGAGACGGCGCTCTTGTTTACCTGACCCCGGGTTCAAATTCAAAGAATTCACTCCTGTCTGGGCCTTATCTTTCTTGGTTCGACTCATTGATTCCAGGTCCAAATGATCGGATTAATGCACTAGCCTATGTTATGGATAGACTAACTTAGCATAGATTTAATGCACCTTCATCGTTGCTACGAACCTGGTGCCCAGCTTCTTCGATTGAGTGGCGCATCC